AGGTGATTGGCCGTGTTCCGTATCGGGCTCTTCTTCGTCCGGAAAATCTTCCTCTTCCTCTTCCTCTTCATATTCCATCTCCTCCTCCAAGTCGGACTCCGGTGCAGCCTTGGCCTTCGTTTTTTTCTTTCGCTTCTCCGTGGATGTGATTTGCACAAACGCCTCTGGATCAGTCCACGGGAGTTCTCGCAAGATCTCAAGCATCTTGGGAGATGTCAAGCTGGCATGCGACGAGTTGAAATCCCCAGCGCGGCACATTTCGAAGGCCTGCGACCCGAATCAGCAGCTGGAATCAAGATTCAAAAGAAAACAGACCTTTTGAACCAACTCTCGATCGTTGCAGGCATGGAACGCATCGATGATCCATCCAACACACCGATCGCGTAGAGTCGTAACTGTAGTGTCCAATTTGCCCACAAGTGCGCCGGACTTCAGCAGCAAAGACGCTTCTGCAACAACATCTTCATGGGCTGAGAGCTTGATAGCATGCTTCATCACCCGCTGGACTCCAACGCCGAGAGGTTGGAAAAGGCCGGTGCAACCACCAGGAACAAAACAGATCAGGATACGAGGATGACTTGCCTTCATCCAAGTCAGGAACTCGTCTGACCAATGGACAGACCAGCAATCGATCTTCCAAAGGCTGTACTGAGTCTCCGGAAGTTTCAGCCTCGCTTTCGTGTCTTCGAAGTGTGGGGCAAGGATGTTGTCAACGAACGAATGCATTGTTGTGTGAGTCGACCAATAGGTTCCATTCCTGGAGGGCTCAAAGCGAAATCCGAGCTTCGAAGCCTTGTCATAGCGCGGAGCGTTCTTGTGAGGACATGAAGCGGTGGTTTTACCCGAGAATATTGCCTGCATAGGTAGCAGTGTCCCATCGGCGGCAATTGAGGGGAAGAGAGTGAATGCGCGCTTCTCTTCCATGCCAACCGTGTTAACTTGCTTCGCACCGCATTTGCTCCAGGTCGTCTTTGTCCCTTGCTGGTAGACAATCTGTGTCTGATCAGAATTGACTCTCAAGGCAGCAGGAATATTATAGTCCCAAACGAGAAGCGCCTCGCGGAGATTCGCAATCTCGAGGATTCGATCTACGTTCTCCGGAATCTTCTGAGCCGCTCGGGTGGCACATCGTTGGCTGAAGCCCATGAAGTTCCGCAGGAACTTGCGTACAAAACTATCTGAGCACTTGAAGGAGCTGTTGTCAGGCGCGACACAACTGAATAGATTGGGCTGGTGCTTCTCAATCAACGCGACCATAACTGCTCGAATTGACACAAGAGTGAGAGGAGCACCTCGATCGCGCAAGTCATTGATCTGATCCCGAATCGCACCGATCAAGACGGGATACGAATCCTATTCAGTTTGTAAATATCACTGCAATGTCCGCGATATGAACGGCTTACCAGGATGCCTGAGCGCGTTGATTGTCCACCGGGTGCGTTTCCCTTTGCCACCCTAGCCAAACATGATTTGCTCCAATGTGAGATCCCACGAGAGCTTTCGATCCACGTCCCAATGGTCTGGGGTGCGAGACGCTTGAACAGTGCTTTATTGAGAAGCTGAGCTTGCCGCCAGATATCAATCGGGCTCCATGAACCTGCGCGCTTGCGAGCAAGGACAAGTTGCGGCCAGATCAGAGGATGTTGCCAATTGACGCGCTTAGCATCCTCAGGAGGACCGGTGTGCTTCGGCTTGCGTCCCCTTTTCGGCTTGGAGCTACTGGCATCGGCGTGCGATTTACGCAATAATTTACGCGCAGGTCTAGACACCTCAGCAAGATCGTTGATGTTGCTGTCATCATCATAGTCCCATAACACCGCCGCTTTCTGGATGTGACATGAACCATCAGTCCATTTGGTGATAAGTATGATTGAACATACCCGTTTTTTCCCGGTCTCTATGCCCGATGCAATAGCAAGTGCCTTCTTGTTGGCGCGCAACTTTGCCTGGCTGAGTCGGTTACGCTCCCGCTTATTTTTCTTCGCTAAGAAGTTGGCTTCCGCAATCTCCACCGATTTCGACTCTCGAGTCGATCTGAATTTCTTGTTTGCCAGAGCAGTCTTGCGATCCTTCTCCTCGCGGGTTATCCTCTTGAAAAACGATCTCACACTTGGTTGTGGCCCCTCGTCATCAGACAGGTTCGTGACTCGTTTGGTCTTTGCAGCCACCTTTGACTGAGTCCCGGCCGGCTTTGACATCCCAGCCTTTCCACTCTGGAAGACATCGGCAAGCGCGGAAGTTGATTGCACCGGCTGCTCATTTGAATGAGCCGTAGGAAGATTGATGGGCAACGGTGGGTCGCGTGGAGTTGGATAAGATATCTGCACTCGCTTTTTGGAAGGGCTCGGTGCAGGAGTCGGAGCATCTGGATTCCCGCGCTCTCGTTTGAGACTGATCCCAGACATTGACGAGCGCAACTTGGAGACATCGTCCTCCGTGACTGTTTGAGGTTTCGACGGGCTCTGGCATTCGAATGTGAAGGCTGGTGCTGACTGGGCAAACTTCGAGAACGAACGCGGCCGCGGTGGAAGATCCTCCATTCCATCATCACTGCCATCAGACAAGCAAATGTCCTCCGCCTCTATGAAAGTGCTGGCACGCTCATCGGCAATCTGTGTGAATTTGATCAGTTTGAATACCAAAAGAGACTCGATTGGCACATATGCGATCAAGAGAACGTGCAACTAGATGATTAAACATCTCAAGCCGCGGAACGGGGAAGTCTGATTGTTCCAGAGGCACGGCATCGGGGAAGGCGGCACGAAAGACAGTGTCGCACGCAAAAAAACCACAGGAGTCCCCATCTGTCTGCTTTGATATCTTCTCGAATGATCCGATTTTGAGATCGCTAAGGCCGTGCTGAGATGCCCACCAGTGAAAGGCATCAGTCAAGGCTGTCGGTGCCTCATGCCCCAGCGAATCACCGTAGCGCAGCATGTCAGCTTCTCCATCCACCTCGATTCCCACCCAATGCTTCTCGCCGCTGTAAGTCCCGAGATGTACGACTGTGAGAAGTGTCTGTTTCAGTTCAAACACATCGGATCCGACAGTGGAGATCCATCGCGTGTTGGCCGACTGTTCGTAGTCCTGACTGCTTGCCGGTGCTTGGCTGAACGCTTGTTGTATCTTGTCCGCAAGATTCACACCCTCCACAATGTACTTCTCAAGAAGCTTTCGGTCCCCGGCAATCTGGTCTCGCAACAACTCCAGGATATCGTCAACATCGGTGCTGCTGAGCCATGTTTTACGGAGGAAACGGTACATGGTGTGCATCGGGCTACGGTCCGACAATCCCCGCTTGCCTCGGTTCCACGGGATCTCGGCAAGGTACCCCAAAGTCTTCTTCGCCTCTGCCCGAACCTCTGGGCTCTTCCGAACCTGTGCTCTCTCCTGCACCCACTTCTGAACTGGCGACCAGATGCTCCGAATCTTCCTGATCTCGTGAACACGCTCCCAAAACACAAGAACCCAGAGAGGGTAGCGACTCGCTGCCTCCGCATCTCCAATCACATGCTTGTACGTGATGGAGTTGGCGCCGTCGAGCCACTGCTGGCTGCCTTGTTCCCGAATGCGAGCGATATCCTTGCTGGTGGGGATGGGGAGACGGCGCAGTCGGATAGCGAGTGAAGATCCATCGAGATCCGGTAGGTCCTTGCTGAACATCGCCTGTCTGCTTCCTTCATCCAACACGATTTCCGTGTGCTTGGGGAGATTCGTGAGAGAAAGAAGCCCAGCGATGGGCAGATCGTCCGAGGGCAAGATGCCGAGTTCAGCGGGGATGGCAAAGACTTCATTAGCAGCGAAGCGACGGACACGTGGAGGCACAGCACTCCATTTGTATCCCGCGCCAATCCACGGGGAAGGATCAAACACGGCAGGCTTGTTGTTATCCATGGAGAGACTGTTGAAGATGCGCTGGCAGGACAGTGGTAACAATCTATTCACAGAGCGAGCTTAATCAGTGTGATCATGTCAAATCTAGGCTAGATTAGTTCTAATATGACAAACAATCGCATTTTAACCCAAAGACAGCTTCAATTGGGTGCATTCCCTCGTGCTTAATCAGATCCGGGCGCCGCCAGTGCCCGACATCACAACGAAGCTATCTGACAGCTGTCATCGGTCATCCCGGACCTTGAAGCTGTGCACCATCGAATCTAAGCTGTCATCGGTCATCGGGTCGAAACTACGGTCAAAATAGTACAGTACAGCTAGCACCAGCATTACAATTAGTGCACTGTTCCTCACAATCACAAACCACTGGACAACATTCCATAAGGATCTGGCCCAGGCCACATTCCAAATCAAGTAATTTTGTGACATCATTGGAGCAGGCTGTGTGGGCCACATCACAGTGATCACAGGCCACATCAGCTGATCTGGCCAACCCACGAGACCCTCGGCCAGATACAAATAAGGAAGTTCCTGTTGGGGAAAATAGGTCGAGGGGGTTGATTAGGTAATGGTAGAATAAGTTTGCAATAGCAAGATAGGATGAATAGAATTGCTTTAGGGCAAACTGATGCCCTTTAGACTACATACCGGCCTAGTTATATACTAGTAATGTAAGTAATCTATAATATTCTACTATTGACCGGTATATGACTAAATACGATTATCTAATGATCTGGAGCATTCCGGGACAGCTGAGCTGCATCCCAGGAATTCTATTTAATTTCAACAGTTCCATCAGGCCACATTGCCTGACGGCATGAGAATATGGCATGTTGTCAACAGCCTGACAACATGCTCTTTCTATCGATGCTGGCATGGAGTGGTTTTTGTGGATTTGTACTAGTAACTCGAAGCACTTGAGGTAACATTATGTCCATCATCTTCACTTGTTTTGCCCATTAGCAGCTGCCTGATGAGACAAGGCAAGCAGTGCATAGAGCTGCAAGATACCCAAGTAGCCAGCTCCTCATCCTCTTCTGCATTTTTTTACGTCCATTCCTACAGCAGTTCGTGCGTTTGTGAGCCCATCCAGAGTTGCGATCTGGTTATCGGTGAAGGAGATGGCCAATCACGGCTATCTCCGAACTGGCCCGGTTTCGTTTGTGGGCCGTGACTTGGGGCCACATCAGGATGTGCCCGGGCCAGACCTTATGGAATGTCGTTCACTCTCGAACAGACCCTCGCTAGCATTCTGACTTCGGCTTCACAGGATAAATTCCACAAACGGAACGGCGACATGTACGGGAAAGCGAGTGGTCCGTGCGGCTAATCTGGTGCTGCACAGCACGGGTACGACACCTTCCATCCAACAATTACGCCTTGGAGATGGCAATCTCGATGTCCCCACCGTTGTTGGATCCACCACCGATGATCATCGAGCCGGGGGTCGTTCCGCAGGCATCGCGCAGGTTCTGAACATCGGTAGGTCAGTCAGTCAGTCCGTGCGCGAGGGGGGCGCTGCACGTACGTCGAAGCCACCGTTGCTGGAGCCGTGGCCCTCAAGACGGCCCTTGCTGATGTCGATCGTGGTACCTAGCACACACATAGAGTCAGCGAGCCAGCCCCGTTCGGGTCCCAGGCAGGGACGTACCGCCGTTGACGGCCGTGGCGGTGACACGGCAGGTTCCGCTGACGGCGGTGGTCGACGCGGCGTTCACGCGCAGGAACTGGATCTTTCCGGCGATTCCGCCTCCGAGCTACCCGAAATGCCGTGAGCACCGACACACACAACGCACAGGGGGGGGGACGTACACCGAGGAGCGCGACGTCGCAGTCGTGCGTGTTGAGCTTGACGTTGCGCGCCGTGCAGTTCGCGACGTTGAGCTTGACGGCCGCGCGCGAGTTGATGGGGGCCGCGAGGACCGAGGTGAGAACGAACGAGAGGAAGAAAACGATAAAGCGGCTAGCGAACATCTGTGCCGAGCCCCGGAGATTCAGTCACCGCGCCGCTGTCGACATTGGAGCGCGCACCTTTGAGATCGGGTGAGGTGCGTTGGCTAGGGGTTGAAAAGGCTTTATCAAAAGGCGACTGGCGCGAGAAAAAGAAAGTGGCGAATTAGGGAAAGAATGTGGAGGACGCGAAGACTGGAGAAACGCCGCGGATCTGCACGTCTTATATACACCTCATGCACGGTCCGGCGGCCGTAGCCCTCGCCTCGCGTGTCGGTTTTGATCTTATTGTCCCCGAGATGGCTCGGTCACTAGCGGGTGACCACGCACGCCGGGAAACTTGACGACGAACAGCGCGGTCGCGACGTCCCTAAAGATGTGGTGGCGGAGGGGAACCAAAAAGTGGCCGTAGACAGCAGACAGTTCCATAGGGCAGCCCACACGGGTGCGCTCAAGTCGCTCTAAGAAAGGTCTTCCAGGAATGAGCGTGACAGGAGTGCCCATGCAGCGGAGGAAGCGCGCTGAAGCGACGGCAATAGGATGCCCTGCCCCGGCCGCCATAGCGACCCGATTTCATACCGGCGAAATCAGATTAGATGAGATTAGATGAGCCTCGACAATTGGCATTCATTGTGTGTAAGTATGTCAAGCAAATTATGGTAATACTTTTGAGCAACCGTCGTCTCCCCCACACGAGACTCAGCCCGTCCCCATCTCAGAATCCGAATCCGAATCCGACTGCGAACCCGCGTCTACCTCGGCAGCCCGAACCGCCTCCACCGCCCGGACCAGCTCCATCTCCACCGCAAACCCGTTGCGAAACTTGCCGAAGCGTGGGGACTGGCGCACAGGCGTCCGCTCATACCGCCCGCGCCCGCGCTTGCTGCTCCCCGCGCGCAGTCTCCCTGCAGCAGCCGCCGACGAGGGGGAGCCGTGCGCGGCGAGGTACTCGCGGCGGTAGGGCGCGGTCAGCGCGGGGGGGCACACAGCGCCGTGCGCGTCGGAGCACTGGCCGTGCTCGATGTGGTACCGCAGGCCGTTCGGGTTCAGGTATGCCTGGCGCACCCATAAAGACATAAACGCGTCAGTTCACGACGGAGGGGCGGGCGCGGATCCTCACCTTGAAACACTGCGGGACCTAGCGAAGCGCACACTCGTCAGTCAACGCGTGTCCAGTCAAGCAATGCGGCGGGCGCGACGTACCGGACACACGTACGTCTTGGGCTGCCCATTCAGATACTGCACCGGTTTCGGCGGATCTGAGCGGAGTATGTCGTCCATCGTCGCCGTCGTGGGTGTCGACCCGGGCGTCAGATCCAGCACAAACTCGTGGCAGGTCGGTGACGCCGACGCCGACGCCGAAGCTGGTGGCTCAGAGTCGGCCTTCTCGGGACTCTCACCCACCACCGCCGCAGCCCGCACCTTGTCGCTGAGGTTCCGCTGGAGTGTCTTCACGAGGATGCTGGCGGCCCCTTCCGTCTCGGGAAGCCCCGCCCTCGCCCTGCCCTTCGGCATCTTGGCCCGCTTCACTTTCTTTTTCGAGGAGGGGGAAGGCGCAACGAAAACGTCCTCTGTCTGCGGGACGTACTCGCGGGGTTGGAGCAGCGAGAAGGTGGTCATCGACATCGACACGGGCACGGGCGCCGGGACGGCTGCGGGCACGACGCAGCCCGTGGCGATCGAGCAGAGGGCGTCTGCGAGTACCTGCGGCTCTGGTGTCGAGAGAGTCGACGACGATGCTGAGGACGCCGAGGACGATAAAGAGCAGTCAGACGTCGCAGGCGAGAGCGGCGGGTCTTCCTCGCGCGGCGCCCAGTCTTCGCACTCCTCCGTCCCCAGCGGCCAGTCCACGACGGAGCTGGCAGAAGGCCTGTAATCGTCCCAGAACGGTATGGGGGAGGGCACCCTGCCGCTGGGATGAAAGCGCTCGAAGTGGTCGAAGAGCGCGTGCATGTCCGGTAGCGCGACGTTGCAGCACTTGAAGTTCGAGCACTGTCTTCTGCGTCAGTGGGTTCAGGAAGATGAAAGCCACAACGACGACGACTCACAAACTCGCGCTCGGCAGCGCACTCCATGGGTGCAGACGCTACGAAGTACGACTCGGACCCACCGACGAAGGTCGCGATAAGTATGAGACCTAGAGTCCGGAAGCGAGGAGGGGGCGGTGAAGAGCAGAGAAAAATGCCAGGCGGGTGTGAAGGAAGGAAGTCGACGTACGATGCAAACGTGATCGACGCGTTCGAAACTTGGGCTGGCGTGTTGACTGGCGTCTTCTTTCCTTTCTTCCTTCGGCGCCCAGGGCCCGATGCCGCCGACCGAATATGGCGGAGTCGTTTCCCAAAACGCGAGTCGGGGCTGCTCGATGACGATGACGCAATAGAGAAGGGTCCCTCCGTGAGATGCACGATTTGTCAGGCAGCTTCACAGACACTCGTCCATGGGAAAACAACAGAGCGCCCCACATCGCGAGACTAGGCAGCCAAAGAGATCCTCCACAAACAGAGTACCAGAACACTTGAAACTACAAGAAACGATCGATCGTCCCTGAGAAGGCGTGCCAACGAACGCCCAAGGAAGACGTCGAGCGAGAGGCTTCTGGTGCACCCGGCACACTTTCGGTCTCCATCGAAACATGTCGGAGACGTCACTGTAAAGTGAGAAAAAAGCTCTACTGAGAACCGGCTAAGGTAGGCGGTGTCGCCAACTTCTGCATGGAAGGCGAGAGTGAAGATGCCGCCGCGCTTGTCGCGATATCGCACGTGATCTTAACACGCTCATGTGACTTTGATTAATGACTGCCAGGAACGTCAGCGCTTACACGTGAGACTGGTAATCTCCGACGCGATCCGAGAACACTTCATCCACGCAGAATAACGAATTTATACTGGAAGTGAGACTCTAGAAAGGATGGTTATACACGGTCCCCTCCTGGAGCTTATACTCGATGACGAGCCCGTCCTCGTTGCTCTCTAGGTTGCCGCCCTCCTTGCCGCGCGTTTCCATCGCGATAGCGTCGCGTTTATAATGCGTCTCCACATCCCCCAGGATGCTCAGTACCGTCGGGACCCCGCCCGTGTAGTTGTTGTTGATGCCGTTGTTGGAGTCGGAGGTCCTGTTGCAGTGTAGGCTGGTGTCGCTGAGCAGCGACGCGCGGTTGTTCAGGTTGGAGAACATCGAGAGCGGTTAAATGCGGCCGACGGTCATCTCGATCATCGTCGCAACTGTTTATAATCAATCAGAGGCGCGCGGTTCAGTCGGAATTTGAAACAGTCTAGGCACTGTCGGTCTCCGGTTGGACGCGGAAGATGACCACCGCGATGACGCTGCTGCATGTTAGCAAGGTGTGAGATGCATCACGAAACAAGACAAGTACTCACGTCAACCCCATTGCGAAAGGACGCCATGGTCAGCCGCCTGATCACATTGCGCGTGTCCTTGAAGCTCGTCTTGTAGTTCATCGCGCGGAACTTGACAACGAGTTTCGCAGTGATGATAGCATCCGCGGCCACCATCCCCGACAGACACACTGCGGCCGCCCCGCAGCAGAAGCAGCGACAGAACTCACGCGTAACGTATCTGATCAACGTCGATCTACCCGAGTACGATGGGTGGAGAAACAGCTGCACCGCGGTCGCGGTGCCCCCACGAGCCCGGTCACGATCACGAGCGTGATGAACGGAATCCAGCAACACCGCTTCGTCCAGCGCACGTGCACCAGTGAGGGAGTGTTCGAGACTGAGAAACGGAGGCCAAAGCGGAACTCACAGGTTGTACATCATGCGCGTGAGCCACACCTGAACAATCGCAACGGTGTCTACGGTCGCGAGGACGCTCACCGGGATTGTTCAAGGTCTGCATCATCAAACGTCAGGGCCGGCGCCAAGCGGGGTGTCGGTTCCACGCACTATGGCCGCAGGTTACCGTTCATTGCCACGATGCTACAGCACAATCATTCGTCAACAGAGAGAGAGAACAAATACAGGAGCCACAGACGTAGACGCAGACGCACGGCCACCCATGTACAAATAACACGTCGCAGCGCAGCAAAACCGGTCAACGTGTCCAGCACAAACGCAGAGAGCACCGAGATTTTGTTGAACAGTCGGTCTGGGTCGCAGTGAATCGCGCGCGGGGCAGCTTGGGCACGAAGGATATACTTCGAGGAAAGCGGAGAAGATATTTCGCTGTCCTGCGAAATACCCTTCAGCTCCGGCGCGAATGATCCTGACGCAACGCCACACACTCCATGCACCTGAAAAAATCAGCCATTATCATAGTCAAATGAACGAGAACCAACTATCACGCTCTGCAAAGTAAAGAGACTGACCGGCGCAGCACCTAGTCAGCCCGAAAAAAATCCAACAGAATGCAACACGCCCAACAATGTGGCAGAGCACGTGAGCGGTCGATATTCCTCCGAGTTAACCGATGGAACCCGGCGGTGCTGACCCGTGGAGCTCTGTGACAAAAACCTTTGGGGGAAAATCAGTTCAAAGAATTGGGACAGGAGACGTCTATTACTGGTGTGAATCATCACTTAAACTGACGCCAATTTTTAGTATATAAGTTTTTTCCTACAAAGAGCCCTCTCCAGTACAAGTTATTCAGGCAAATGTCGCTCCGCACTATATTACTAGCACGGAGACTAAATCGTCATTCTTCCCTCTGCTGTGCCGTTCCCGGAAAGTGGAGTGAAAATGTTGTGAGGGGCCCTATGAATCTTTGGAGAAGGTGAAAATCCCCGAAAATGTGCGGCTCCAAAGTAAGGCTGAGCGAGCGGAGCAACTGGACCGCAGCCTTCGATGATCTCATTTGCGTGATTGATCGAGATCATATCGCGTTGATCTGACGCCATCTTGTGCTTTCCGCCGAAGAACCTTGCAGTCGCCGACGACCTGCGCATGTTCCCCAGCACCTGCCGACACGCGTTTCTGAAATCTCTGACGCTCGTCTCGCCCTCGTCGTCTTCTGCTTCCGCACTCCGCCGTCTCCCGGCCCTTTCCGCTCGCTTACACCCTGCACCATGGCCAGGGTCACGGCCCTCGCTCCGAGTCCTGGGGCGCACGTATCAGAATATGGCCCAGCAGCCTGAGGCGAAGGACGACCAGGACGCACCGCCAACAAGACCTCCTCCACCCTCCTCGCCTCCACCTGCTCCACCCTCGACAAACGCCGGCACGGTATCGACGAAGGAGCAGCGCAAGATGGACTGGCGGATAGCGAAGAGCCTGATCCCGCACGTGTGGCCGAAGCACGACTGGAAGACGCGTGCCACGGTGGTGTTCGGTTTTGGGCTGCTCATCGCGAGCAAGGTGCGTCCGCGCTCCCTGCCGCGCGTATAGCGAACCTGAGCACCGCCCGGCCAGCTGCTGAACGTGCAGGTGCCGTACATCTTCAAGGACGTCATCGACGCGCTGAATATGGACCTGGCGTCCACGGCGACCGCGTGGACCATCGCGGGGACGCTGGTCGTTGGCTGTGAGTCGCCTGCTGTCGCGGCGTGTTTCACCGAGGTACATGCGCGCTGACTTGGGCGGTAGACGGCGCGGCGCGGATATCGTCGGCTGTCTTCGGCGAACTGCTGAACGCAGTGTTCGCTAACATCGGGCAGAGCGCCATCCGCAAGGTGGCGCGCGAGACGTTCCAGCATCTGCTCTCGCTCGACATCGGCTTCCATCTCTCGAGGCAGACAGGTGGGCTCACTCGGGCTATCGACCGCGGGACGAAGTACGTGTGTCGTCCGCTGGCTGTCTTCGTGCCACCCTGCCTTTAGCTGAACGCTGCTTTTCCCTTTTCCAGAGGTATCACGTTTTTGCTGCAGGCGATGCTGTTCCGCATCGTACCCACCGCGCTCGAGATCTCGCTTGTGTGCGGCATCCTTGTGAGTTCATTTGCGTTGTCTCCGTGTCTCGTGTCTCTAGACCCGCGCAGACCTACAAATTCGGATGGGACTTTGCCGCTCTCACCGCCATCACGTTAGCCGGCTACACGTGGTTCACCATTCGCACTACGTCATGGAGGTTCGGAACAATTTTTTTCTTCTTGCAGCTGACGGTCTCACTCGTTATGTGCCCAGGACGAAATTCCGGCGGGAGGCGAACCAAGCTGACAATAAGGCGGCTTCGTCTGCCGTGGACTCCTTGATCAACTTCGAGGCTGTCAAGGTCGCGTGCGGTCGCCAAATCCTCGTGCTTGTGCTCATGGGTTGCTTAGCACTTCAACAATGAGCCGTACGAGATAGCGCAATACGACAAGCACTTGACAGACTACGAAAAATCGTCTGTCAAGATCACCACTTCGCTGGCGATGCTCAACTCGGGCCAGACGGTGATCTTCTCCGGCGCGCTGACTATGGCGATGTTCATGGCTGCTCAGGGAGTGGTAAAAGGTCGACGCCGGTTTCATTTTGGGTTTGTTGTATGCTCATCTCTGCGATAGGAACCATGAGTGTGGGCGATCTGGTGATGATCAACCAACTGATTTTCCAACTTTCGCTCCCGCTCAACTTTTTGGGCACGATTTATCGGGAAATGAGGCAGAATTTGTTGGATATGGAAGTCTTGTTCAAGATTCGGGATGAGAATCCCCCGCGTCTGGTCGATGCATTTTCCTCTAGAAATTACTCTCGTCCCTAAACTCCCCACCAGGACCCGCCGAACGCCCTTCCTTTGTCTCTTCAGGCAGGAACCATTCGGTTTGAGAATGTGACCTTTGGATATACAGCCGAACGACCCATTCTTAATAATCTCTCCTTCACGGTTCCTGGCGGGCAGAAAGTCGCTATCGTAGGGCCTTCCGGGTGTGGAAAATCCACCGTCCTCCGGCTGCTGTACCGCTTCTACGAACCGTCGGAAGGGCAGATCTACATCGACGACCAGGAGATACGCAATACCCAACTCGACAGCGTGCGGCGCGCGATCGGGGTCGTGCCGCAGGACACACCGCTGTTCCATTCCGACATCCTGCACAATATCCGCTACGGCCGGCTGTCGGCAAGCGACGAGGAGGTGTTCGAGGCTGCGAAGAAGGCGAATGTGCATGACGCGGTGATGCGCTTGCCCGCGGGCTACCGCACGCAGGTGGGTGAGCGGGGTTTGATGATCAGTGGCGGCGAGAAACAGCGGTTGGCGCTCGCGCGTGTGTTGTTGAAAGATCCGCCGATATTGTTCTTCGATGAGGCGGTGAGTTTTATTATTATCTCGCTCGATGTTGCATTACTCATAGTCGAACACAGACCTCAGCCCTGGACGCTACGACGGAAACGGAGGTGATGCGGAATATCAACAATATCTTGAAGGATCGATCCAGGACGAGCATATTCATCGCTCACCGATTACGAACTATCGTTGAAGCGGGTGAGTCCCCTCCTATTTTTTTTTTCCTGGGTCGCTGCTTAAGTCGCCCGGCTCGCCTCTTAGATCTGATCATTGTGCTGCGGGACGGGCAGGTTGCGGAGCAGGGCAGCCACGAGCAGCTGTTGCAGCAGGGCTGCTTGTATGCCAGAATGTGGCAGGAGCAGGCTCTTGCGGACAGGGTGTCGGAGATCGAGGCGTGATTTCGGCGGTCATGCCATAATCAATCAGTTCAACTACTTGGATGAAGGGAGCGAAATAACAATAGATGTGGAGACTGCGGTATCCCGAAGTGGAACTCGGCCACCGCGCTATTTTGATGATGTCCTGCGGCTAAGCTTTGGAACATGCAGGACTTTTGTCTAGCTAAGCTGAAGAGCGCATCACCAGATATTTAGCCTGAGTCGGGTAACACTTCCGAATCTGACTGGTTTCTGGGGCATGAGACCAGCATTCAAGCTAGTCCCTCGTATCAATATAAAAGCACTACTAGCCAACGTGATCAACATCCCAGTCAAGGGCAGGAAATGAGCTCATCATGGAAAGATTTGTGGGTAGTATGGAATTGTGTAAGCAGCTGATCATCTGAGTGCGAATTTGATAATGTGGTCTCTTAGACGAGCTGTCGATCTTGAGACCAGAAGTTGAATTGACTTTTGACTTTCACGTTAAATTTTGATTTCTCATCCTTGTCTCGGCAACACTGTGCCTCTGCGTTTGGTTCCCTGCTGGGTCAACCATCTTCCTGCCCTCAGCAGCAGTCATGCATTCCAATACACCAGTTCATGCCAGTGAAACCTGCTATTCTTTTACACAAGTGCTTTGTCTGTGTTCCCCCCCTACCTGCACAAGACACTTTTGATCTGATCCTGCAACAGATCTCATATTCCACTTTACAATCCAATTTGCATGTTCTATATGCACAAATATGTCATAATTCGATCACTTTTTCATTTTTCCATCAACCATCTTATCTTATCTTGACATGGGTTATCTTATTACAAATCACAGCATCAGACAGTCTGGGCTAGGGGCTCAGGGGGGTTATCTCTATCAATCCAAGGCTGAGCAACATATTCTCTGAAAGGTTCTACCACAACCCATGACCAGTGCTCCATGCAGTATATAGTCTCATGACTCATTAGGCCCTGATTGGCAACCGCAGGAATTATCCGCAGGTCTGCAGAAATGGGCAAAATATTTCTGCTGCAGGTTTTGATGGGCAGAAACAGATGGCGGTGCTGTCATGCTTGCTTGTTCTTACCTCTTCTTACTCTCTACCTCTTTCTGTACACTTTCATTTGATAATGGGCAACGCACACTGGCACGAGTCGCAAGAGAAGGCATTGATCACTGCTCTTCATGAACAGAAGAAGGCCTCTCGGCAAAGTGGGCAAGGCTTCAAACCCAGCTCATTTGACGCCGTCGCAAAGACTGTCACTGCAGTATACCCAAAAGAGCCTCTCAATGCCTGTCAAGTCAAGACAAAGGTCAAATATGTACATCGAGACTGTCTACTTGTCCTCCTACCCAACTCAGCATCCAATCCTGTAGTTCAAGAAGCCGTTCACCAAGTATCAGTTTGTTCAAGGGAAGAGCAGTGTCTCCTTCAATGACAACACAGGAATTGCAAGTGACAACACGGCAGAGTTTGTGGAAGGCTTTCTTCTGGTGAGCACATACTTACAATGTCCTTAACACGTCTGGACATATGATGCGCTGTAGACATATGGTAAGGACAAGTACGCCAAGTGCTTCAGGCAACCTTGTCCCTTTTGGCGGGACCTTTGTGAAATCTACAACGGTGGAAGTGACCGTGCCATGGGAGAACATGTGATGCACTTTGGAAATGGCCCCGCACACACAATTCTTGACGACATCAGCACCCGTGCAGCCTCCAAGTCAAACCACTTGCAACGCGTCCTAGCTAGCCCTCCTTCCACCGTTACTATATCCGACAACAAGGTCCCCATGGCCAACAGCACCCCTGGCTCTCCTTCCCCGAAGCCTGCAAAGGCTGCGAAGGACAAGCCCTCCAGCCGGCCCAAGGAGAAGAGCAAGGGAAAGGGAAAGAAGGGATCGGTGAAGGAGACGAAGCATGACCAAAGTTTTGATGATGAGTTGAGCATAGTGCGTATGCAAATGGGCTCTTTCGGGCAACTCAATCTCACAGTGCCATGTGCATATAGGCACGTAGTTCTGGAAAGTGCACATGTGCAGACACAGATGACGAGGAAGATGATTTTCTTGCTACCACCTCCCGCCGCCGCCGCCAAAGTTCCCAGTTGGACGTTGCCAAATCAATCACGGCCCTGTCCATTGCCATTGCAAAGCCCATGTCTGATGACCTTTCACATGTTGATCAAGTGATGAAGATCTTGAAGGACAAGACTCTGCTTCCCCCAGATCCCCACGGCCACTTCTTCGCTGCTGCCACCAATGCTCTCTGTCGCAAGCCAGCTATTGCCTGTGCTTTTTTTATTGAGGATGACCCTGTTTGTCGTCGCGGGATTGTGACGGGTCTCCTGCTTGCTGCTGGGATTTCTGTGCCTGAGCCTGAGCAGATTAACTAGGTATCATCATTGCATTCTTTTGTACTTGCATCGCATTCTTTCAAACCCACATTCTCTCAAACCTGCATTCTCTTGATCCTGCATTCACATACATACCTGATTTCTCTGTACCTTGCGCATTCACTGTTGTACCAAGGCTGACATTGTTGTACAGTAGAACTGTTCATATGGAATACTGTGATAAGGAATATAGGTCATAAGGAATACAATTTGGTTACCCCATTTTGCCCTTCACCACTGAATTCGACACCTCATATGGAATATCCGTGATAAGGAATACAAATCTGGGATGGCCTGGGCCTTCCCAAAATTATTCCCTATTAGCAGTTCTACTGTACTTGTACTGTATCAATCCAATTGTTGTTGTATAGACCAGATATGTAAAGGAAATGAGCTACACAAGGTCAGGATGAGTGACCAAATACTCTTGCCACATAGCATTTGCAATTCGATCCCTTCGCATGTTTGCACGAGCCTTCTCCTCCTCATCAATTGCATGCATGGCTATCATTGGTCCCACAGACACCAGGCTGTTGAAATACGCATCTTCCCAGGGATCATATCCATCTTCCTCCGCATCCTCGCCAAAGCCTGGCTCCTGGAGAGCCTTGTGAATTTGCAGAAAGTTGTGTAATGCCACACAAGCACCAACAGTCAGCGATTGCTGACGGTACCCCATTTCAGGTTGTGACACCAAGACCTTGAAGCGCTGTTTAATGAGCCCAAAGCCGCGCTCAATCACGTTTCACAATTGTGCATGTTGCAAATTGAATAGCTCTTCAGGATCTTGTGGCCTATGATAGTCAGCAAGCGGAAGTATCCCAATGTAAAGTTACCTCTGGTTCCCATTGTTCCATTCTTTCAAATGATACCTCTTGCCTCAATACAGTGTCATAAGCATGTTGCAGTTTGGGAAGCCAGCATCTGCCAAGTAATAGCGACCAATGGGAAGGGTGTAACCATTTTCTCGTGCCACTTGAAACAGTAGCCCATCTCCCACAGTTCCCTTGTATCCAGGCATGACATGGAGGAAGCGATGCTCAAAATCAATGGTCGCAAGGACGTTCTGCAAGATAATGCCGTGTTGGTCGCAATATCAAGTGAGATGGTGGGCTAGCGCATACGCAAGAATATGGACACCATCCACTGTGCCTCGACAGTACTTGAAAAATGGGTAATATAATTCACTTGTCAAGATTTGGTCTGGTGTCTTGTCAGCTGGTGCTCGGATGTAGTCTTTGTAGAACGTGCCTGTGAGAGCTAAGAGCCTGTGGTTGAGGTAGCAGCTTATTGTGTCACCAGAGCGCTGAAAGCGTTCCTGCAACTCCCGCTGACTGCTCCCATGGACCATCCAATACACTAACATGGCCAGCTGCTCCTGCCCACAGACCTCTCGACTATTGAGCATGCATCCCATCGACAGTAGTTTGGCATAGAGTAGACAGAATTGCAACGAGCTCATGCCAAACTCTCAAAGGCACCAAGCGGGATGTCCATGTAACACTTCATCCAGCCACGCAAGACCAGTCAAGATTGATGTGTGCATGGGAATTGGCATGTCAATTGAGAACAGTGATGAGGTGTAGAAAATGACTGCGAGGAGGGCTGTGTGGAGGGCAGTGCATCGTTGGAGTGCACAGGTATGACGTTGTAGATCAACACATTGGTGGGTGCGCCGGGTGCGTATGAGGCCTGGCATACTGATGAATACGGTCGAGTACAAGATGCAATACACAATTTATGCTACTGAATCAGGAAGGTGTTACTTGCTTGTGACCTTTCTGTTTCTGCAGACCTGCAGATAATTCCTGCGGTTGCCGATCAGGGCCTTAGTTGTAGATATGACTCAGACTGGATTTGGGTATAAATACTGTAGCTACTTTATTGTATTCTCCAGTCTTTGAATTGACTTCTCTTTTCAATACATAATATTATAATGCCTGGCTTTCTTTCCTATCTTACAAGGCTGTTGTCTGAAAGAATGTCAGCCCACACTCAGTGAATGCAACCAGTGTACCCACCATATCACAACCTGTCTCCACTAGGTACCAGAGCAAGGGGTCCACCATCCACTGGCAAGATCCAAATGTCACATTGGACGGTATCCACTGTGACTGTTAAGCTTCTGCCAATGAATGTAAGGGTGTGTATCTGGTTTTGACAAGTGACAAACCTTAACTGCTTGGACCTGTGTTTGAAGCAGTAGAATATTCATGCTAGTTGATAATAGGTAGAATCAACTGATGAACAGTTAATCAGTTAATGAACTGCATAGATGATAGCATCACTCACGTGACTAAGTCAGATGTCTTAATAGACCTATGCAGTTAAGTGACAAGAAGATAAGATAAGATAAGTAGAGCAGATAAGGAGTAAATCAGTTGACCAGAGCAGGCTGTGAAGCAGCAAGACAGTGGAAGCAACTGTAGTGGTCAAGAGCAAGAGCAGGATCAGAAATATTTGATGAGGCCAGTGTTGACAAGACCCGGGGTCTAGACCCAAGGTCCAGGGTCTTGGGTCTTCCAACTAGTGCTCTCAGGGTTCAGTTCGGAAATCGGTTCGAACCCGAACTGAACCGAACCGAACTCCGGTTCGGGGTTCGGGTTCAGCCAAATGCCCGAACCTGAACCGTGGTTCGGTTCGGAGTTTGGGGGAGACCAAAAAAGCCGAACTTGGTTCGAACTGGTTCGAACCAGTTTGAACCATCAAAATTGTTTAAGGCATTTTTGTAGCTGAACAGGCTTGTAGAACCTATTTCCATCCTTCAAAAGTTCAAATTCTATACAACTGAACTTGTTTGAGGTGTGTCTCAATAAATTTAGGGATGGATCAAGGATTCTGTCAAATGTAAGGCCAAGTGTTCACCTCAGTTACCACCGCCATCACGCGGTTCTCCCCCCGCGGGTACCTACTGGGTACCCTCAGACATCTTGCTAAGGGTACCCAGTAGGTACCCCCTGGCAGGGGTGGGGGGGCCATTTAGTCGATTTAGTAGCGGGGGCATATGCGGGGGTCAGGAGGAGGGGGGTGTATGTAGCATGTGACTTGTCCATAAGAGCGGGTAGCTGGGTGGGAAAAAAAAATCCAATCACATGACGCGCTGCATGGGCGGGATGGCGGGATAAAAAAAGCACGTGACAGCTGAAGTGATAATTTTTAAAAATGTTGGCGGGGGCTGGCAGGGTGCTGGCGGGGTCATTACCGACCCCCCCGCATGCCACGGCAGGCGGTAGGCGCACATTCACGTGACCTCCTCCCATCTTTTTTGCCGCCATTCGGTGCAATTTTCAGGGCTCTCCACGGTGCACAATGCGCAGGGGCGGCGGGCAGTTTGGTCACGTGACCGAGCGCAAAAAAAAAGAAAAATAGCTGCCGGAAAAACCGGGATGCTATTCCAGTCTGTCCTGTGCCTCAAATATCAAAAAAGCGAAGCACTGAATGCAAAACCTGGACTGCTGCGCCCGCCACACTGCAGCAGTGATGGGCATGATCCCATCATCTGGCGGGGTCATCTGCGGAGTTGATCTGTTCCATATTTGTACGCTCACGCTGTGGTTTGTATTTGTGATTGAGGACATCCCTTGCAGAATTGGCTGCTTTGTTTCATGCGCCGCTCTTCCCTGTAGCCATCTGCCTCATGGAGGAAGTTTTTCATGTTTACACAGAGGCAAATGGCCAAACTAAACATGATCCTAGTGATAATCCAACGTGAGTAGCAGAGTTCGAAAGCCATGAAGTCAAGAATTTGAGCTCACTCTTGATCATTGGATTGGTGAGGCGCGTGATCCATTGGCGTCTGTGGTGGTGGCCGCGGGGGTCGCCGCGGGGGTCGCCACAAGGGTTGCTGCCGGGGTCGCCGCGGGGGTTGCCGCGGAGGTTGCAGCGGGGGTCGCCGCGGGGGTCGCCGCCCGGTGCATGTGGGAGCTGATTGTGGGTTTCCTGTTGGGTTTCTGCTGGGCTGGCTTGCTGCTGGAACATGCCGGATCAGCTAATGAAATCTTTGGTTTCTAAATGGAGCCCTCTATCGCCTCAGGGCGAATGCCACATTTCAATACAACAGTACACTTTGTTTGCAAATTGGCACGTGTCAGTAAAAGCTTGAAATGGATGCCCTGTGCACTCCTCGATGCCTGTTGAAGAGAAAATTTCTACCCAAAGACGATGCATGGCCCAAGCAACATGTTGCTGCATCGATAATATTTTGTGTGGATATGATTATTGTTCAAGCATTACCGAAACTTACCATGGTTGAGGAAATTTTCTCACATTCTTCACAAAATATACCACAGCCGGAAGGGGGGGGGAGGGCAGATCAATTTCGTGTATGAAAGATACAGAACAAGATATTGTAAAAAAAACAATCCCAAAAGTAATCTACAAAGAAGATGTGCAAGAAAACTGTCCACCATCCAAACACAAGATGCAGAATACACTGTTGCAGGATACAATGTTCAAACTCATTTTTTGGCCAGCTCCTCCTGGACCGCACTGCGGATAACCCCTGCCATCATTGCTTGGAAGGAGGGAGCACTGAATATGCTTAGCATCGCAGCGGCGGGATCAACAGCAGGAGTTGCCGTGGAACTTGTCGCTGTGGATGCAGCAAGGTTGGCCGCGGGGGCATCGGTGGGTGAAGAGGCAGGGGGTGCCGCAGTTTCCAGATGAGCGATTGTCGACTGTGACACCAACTTGGGTGCCTGGCCCGAGCCAAAGACCTCTTGCTGTTTGATTGCAGCGCTGGGCACCTGCACCGCCGGTGGACCATCAAGCGTGTGCCGCGAACTGCTGGCGACCACGTTGGCTTGGCGGGGGCGCGGGCAGGGGCGTTTTGGGGGAGGCGCCTGCACCACTTCCTCTTCACTCTCAGGGGAAGAGAGCTCAGGGGAAGGCGCGTTCATCTCTTGCAAGCGGCGCTTGTTTGGCCGCGGCACCTTGCGCGTCAAAACCACTGGGAATAATTTAGATCGGCGCTTTTTCTGGGGGAGGACAAAGCCCATAGGACAATTATCATGTCCATAAAGGGTGGCAAGGTACTGACCAGCGTCCTTTTGAACATCCGATGCGTCCGAAGGAGCAGCCAGGGTTGGCACGTACTCCGAACCAGGAGTCGAAACTTGACGCTGTTTGCCTCCACCGACTTGTTGAGATGGTTTGGATGGAGCACCAGTGTTAGCCTTGGTGCGCTTCGGATTGCGACGGAGAGCAGGAGCCTCCACTGCCGTATCAGCCTTTTGCTTCTTGCTACTGACCTTCTTCGTTGCAGGCAGTGGTGAAGCAGGCTTTGGCGTGGGAGACAGCCCCAAGTCAGTTGGGGAGCTGGGCATGGGGGATGCGGCGGGGGGTGCGGCGGCGTGTCCACGGCGGCGCTTTCGGGTTGGTGTGCTCAACACACGAGCAGCAGGTGCAGGATCGGAGGGGGAGGCAGCGGGAGGTGCAGGGAGAGCATAGTCGCCGGACTCGTTCTTCACCACAATGCTAAAGTCCAGATATTGTTGTGTTGGGTCTGGATCCAGGAGGTTGAGCCCGAAGTAGCACGGGTCTCCCTGGCCAGTCACCCCAAGTACGAATTCAGAGCCACTGAACGCGATGTTAGATCCAACGCCTTGGGGGAACGTGGCAAGCACGGGCATGCCTGGAAAAGAAGTCAGATTTTGCAAAAGGCACATGAATGAGATACACTCACGGGGATCCCGGCAGTCATTGTCAAAGAAGGATATTCCCACTGGCTCACGCCCCTCGAACACCTCATTCAGCGAGTACTTGATGGCGGTCACAAGTATGCTCTGCTGCAATGCCGCCAGCGAGCGTATACCCTTGTCAGTTTGTCCAAGCTTGGTCGGCAGGGGAAGCAGATGAGGCCATCTGAGTAACATGTATCCCCCCTTGAAAAGGGCTGGACCGGTGCTCTTCCACTGGAAAGTCTGTTGGCTCATATTGGTCATGGACCCAACGGGTTCACTGCCAATCTGGGCCATCGACAGAGCGCTCAAGTCATTGAGGAGATTGTCCCAGAGATGGCTCACCTTCATGGACCTTTTGGAGCGCTGGTTGGAGTCCCCCTCCATCGCATCGCAGATGTTCTGGATGTTCTCCTCAACCTCCCGTTGCGTCAGCGGAGCCTCGTACAGCGGTTGGAGTTTGTAACGTGGGGGAACCCGTGCTCGCAGCTGAGCCAGGGGGTTGGCAGATGAGCCGGGAGCAGCGGCCCGAGTGGAAGAACGCGTTGGTGCAATGGCGGGGGCGCGGGCGGGGGTGACAGCGGGGGCGCGGACGGGGGTGACAGCAGAGGCACGGACGGGGGTGATTGCTGGTGTGGTGAGGTCACCCGTGCCAGTCGCATGGTCGTCGACT